CAATGAATTCATCCACGGTGATGCGGAAATGATGAAGACAAGGTTGTACGGGAAACGGCCAGTGTGTCTGTGCCTAGCTAGTACGGTACGGTAGCTTGTTTCCTTCAAGTAACGAGCACTTTGAGTGCACACATGCATACAAAGTCCCAGGCCGCCAAAGCAAGAGTCTAGATAGCTAAAAGACATGTATTAGCTAGGTGATGCTCACAACTTGATAGCTGATGGTTCTTCTAAAGCTTTTGGGTGAAGCAAAGAGTGATTGTATTATTTATTAGTTAGTAGTCGTTCGTCCAATTCAATGCTGTTCCAAGCTAGCTAGGCTTGGGGGTCTTCCACAGGAGGAGTTTCGTGTTGAGAGGCAACTTACTCATGCTGTTCCTGCTGTTGTGCAATGATCTCCTGAAGTCCTTCAATGAGCCCCTGAAATGACTGGAGTTCTGGATTGTTCGAAAAATTTCTTGATAGCTTCAGTCTTAGTAGCTTCAGTCTGGTTATTGTCAAGAATGATCTTGGCCGTTTCTGGATACGGATGTCACCTGCCATGCCGACCCAAAGTTGTCTCTGACACCAAAGCATCACTCAAGCACTCCTGGAGCATGGTACCCCGTTGTTGCCAAAGGAAGAAACACAAATCCTGTGTCACTCGATGGTGGGCAAGGTGTGCGTCTCTCTCTCTATTTCTGACTCGTGCTGATCTCCGCTGCGAAGAGCACAATGGAAGTTGACTGGCCAACCTGGCTGAAGCGGAAGACTGGGGTCTGAAGGACCAGCGGGACTGGAGCGGCTGATAATCCGCGAATCGTGGCACGATCCGCGGATTTAGCGGTTTTCCACGAATCCGCGATCCACGAAACGATCCGCCGATCCGCGAATAACCGCGAATAACCGTGAGAATCCGCGAGATTTAAGAACCATAATAATAAGGACTTAAGTGGACATCTAATCTAGAATGTACTGGAAAGCAATGATCGGCAACAACAAGACAACAACAAGCAACAGAGTCCACCATGGTTGAAACAACAAACGATGCTGCCATGACGGTGGTGGCCAGAGAGACCTTGAATATGCCCAAAGTAGTGGGAGCTCCGTCAAAGCAGAAACTCAAGGAAGAAGATGAGATTTTCCGCGGTTTCTTTGGCGCTCCCATCGGTATCATCGTGATTTTGTGGAATATGATTGTGCCACTCATTAACATGTCAGGTGCTGCTCCGAAACATGTCTTGTGGGCTCTTGTCCATCTTAAAATTTATTCAACTGCTAATGTTCATCGCCGCATTGTTGGTTGGCCATCTCTTGTGACGTATCGCAAGTGGACGTGGTACATTTTGGGAAAGATTGCCTCATTGAAAGCCGACGTTATTAAACTCGACAACCGATTCGAAGGCTTTGATATAAGCAGCGGCGCAACATGCTTGTTGTCAGTGGATGGTATTGATTGTATGACAAATGAGCCTTGGCCTTTCGACACGAAGTGGTATTCGCAGAAATTCAATGGACCTGGTGTGAAATATGAGGTTGGTGTTTGTATCAAAACTGGCCACATCGTCTGGACGAATGGCCCATTCCCTGCTGGCAAAGGTGATGGAACAATCTGCATTGAAGGTCTTTTGAATTACCTTGCTGAGGACGAAGGTGTGGAGGTTGATGCAGGCTACAAGGGTCACCCCAAATTCAAGGCTCCCGTGGTGGCAACAAGCAGGAAGGACAGAAAGGAAAAGAGCGTTGTGAGAGGGCGACATGAGGCCATCAATGGGCGCTTGAAAATATTCAATGTGCTGGTGGCTCCCTTCCGACATCTCACTCCTCGAAATAAAATGATGGAGAAACATGGCATCTGCTTTGATGCCGTGTCGGTAGTAACCCAGCTCAAATTTGCCCATGGCGACTCCACTGTTTTCAGCGTCGATTACGACGTTGCCTATGATTAAGTAATTTAACTCTAGTAGCAGCATTGTTTGTGAAATATTCCCTTTTTAGACAATTATTTGGTGCTATTATTTGTCTCCGTTCATGTTCCCTTCATCGTTGCCCAAGGGTATTATATTCCAATTCTGCCACTACCAAATCTTTCTTCAAACTTTCTATTGTTTCATCGATCCAACCACAGGAAGAGTCGCTCCCACTCTCACCACTGCTCCCACTCTTCTCATTATCCACCGCGTTTCAGTAATCTCCATCAATCATGGCACCATCCTCAGATTCTACGTCTGCATGTTCTGTTTCGACGTCAACATCATGAGACGTCCGTGTGCGTTTGCCACCACGAGAGGACTCTTCTTGAGATGAGCTAGTACGTACATTCGTTCCACCAGGACGGGGACCTGCTCCGAGTTTCACAGTGCGACCGGACTTGACCTTGTTCGATTTTTTCCCATCATCTTCGGGCAAAACTCTGCAATAAAAAGCCAAACAAGCAGCAAGGTTTGAGCAACAATTTCATACAAAATTACAGAGCAACGAACAATACTTACTTCACAAACAGCTGGAGCACATTGACTTTGACACCACGAGATTCAATGTCGACTTCCAACAGCTCCATTGCGGGTTCTTCCTCAGTCAACATGTCTTGGTCGAACTGAAGATATCCATAGTCCCAAATACGATCGTCCTCTTCAACAAGCTGCTGGTTGCGCTCGGAGGTATCCATTGTCAATGGATGATCAGGTGGGTACAGCATCTGCCCCTGGTCATCAACGCAAAACTGTGCCATCTGCTCCGCCATTTGAAACCAATCCGGCCATGCAACTCGAATCATGAGAAGGCGTGGCGCCTGCCATTCAAACTCAATGTCTTCCACAGTGGCACCATTGTGCAAGATCATGCGGCAGAGCATGGCAACCTCGGTCCGACGGCTCGTGTAGTTGAATTTGCGAAACATTCCAAATGAGGTTGGAGCTGTCAACCCGGGGTGATCCCCACCACCAGACGGCACATAGGCAGGAGCCGGCGCCGGAGCCTTGACAGTCTTCTTGACGACCTTGGGAGAGCGCATTCCAGCAGCGTTCATGGTTGGGGTAGGGGATGTTGGTGGGGTGGCAAAAGTGTCTCTGAAAAAAGGTGGAGGTGTAGGATTACGAGGATTGCGAGGATGAACGCGAGTCAAAGGGGGCTCAGGCAACTCGTTGTCTGCTGTAGGGGCAGAGTCTTTTGGATTTTCAGGTGGCTGCTGATTCAATTGTGCAAACTTTTGAGCAAGAGTTACCATTTGCTTGCCACGGTGCCGAAACCAAGAGTCACTCCCAAGGTTCAACAACAACTGGGAAGATCGTTGATGGTGGATGGATCCAGCACAATCTGTATCCCAGCCTTCCTCACCGTTCGTGACGATCCAACGCCAGTAGTTCCAGCAGATGACCTTGTCGTGATGCTTGAGCTTGTTCCACCGCGCGATGGGGTTATCGTTGGGGTCAACTTGCTTCTTTGTTGACTTTGTGCGCGGCATTGTGGACGATTGATGTTTGTCAACGTTCTTTGGTGCCCTCTTGTTGCTGCTGTGGCGGTCATTGAGAGGGTCATCATTTGGCATGGCCAACTTGCTCCTCTATATCTTTTAAAAGTGGCATCCTAAATCTCGCGGATTTTCGCGGTTATTCGCGGTTATTCGCGGCCGCGCTCGCGGATTCGCGCCGCGGCCGCGCGCGAGTTGCGGATTCGCGGAAGAGGTGCTCGCGAGTCCCGTTTTCAGCCGCTCCAGGCCAACGGTAGATAGCAATCCACGATTGCATGCAAAGGCAACGAAGTGGCATTCTCACGAACGAGCCTCTGTTCACTGGATGGCGTCTTCACCATGAAGGAGCTCGTATACCGGTACTATGTCTTGGTACCTTACTCCAGCCAACTATGTATACTCATACATGTACTTGCAACGCAGCGGTGATCGCTGACAGGTGGATCGTCAAAGTACTACTAGTCTAGCTCGAACAAATACAACAGTGTACACAAATAATGGGTTGGTTAGGTAGTGACAAAAGTCAACTAATCAATTCTGGGGGATGAGCAAACTTGCCCATGGCTCTGTGTTGAATTTGTTAGAGCGGTTTTGTAAAAATTGTGTGCACTAAGCCAATATTTTACTTTGGCTGTTTTTCTCTATTGGATTAGATTGGATTGCATTGGATTAGATTGGATTGCATTGAATTACAGTTTACTATATAAATAACAGTACTAATTGGAATCCAATTCAATCCAATTCAATGCAATGCAATCCAATCTAATCCAATTAAATTTATCTTCCGGCAAGAATACGAATTTCGTCTTTTTAACTGATTTTAGCAAGTCACATCCATTACAATACAGGGCTATTGGAAGATTTGCCCATCCCCCTGTTCTCAATTTCAAATGCTGCTACTGTGCAGTACCAATGGATCAATCAGTACCAGTAGACGTCTAAGAAGCCTCGAATGACCAAACACAGGAATCAAGTAGAAGGGTGGTCGTCAATTCTAAATAAATACGCAGATTTTGAGTGCACCGTGAAAATCATGACCTAATGCTTCTAATTATAATTAGTTTTCTTAGAAATTCTTAAGGCCTACTCTAGAATACAATGGGTGGGGAACACGGAAAGTGCCCTGGCCAACTTTGTCGTTAGGTCATAAATCCAACACCTATTTCAACCACAAAATCGCAGAAAAAGGCCAAAAAATGGGAGCCTTGACGTCGTGTTAGCTGGTGTGGTGCTGCTATGATGGTGAGGATGGTTGCTTTATCATGCTACAAATCAATGGTCAACTTGCATCCCAGTTTTGATTGATACAGGAAGCCATGCCGCAGTGCCCTTACTGCCAAAAGGCAGTATTATCGTACAGTGGATTGAGGCGGCACATCAATAAGAGTACATCATGTAGTGCCGCTGAGCTTCGAGCACTTGGTAGTACTGCTAAGCCGAGGAAGCCCTCTCTACTTTCAACAATAGGTCAGAGATTAGCCCCATCACGATCTGAATTGATGGCCAGGTCGGTCCAGGTTGGTGGTCTTGGTGGTGGTGAATCATCACTTCTTTCCACCGTACTTGGTGGTAAACGAGCTCATGCATCATTAGGAGCAACACATGCATCATCAGGAGCAACACGTCCTGAATCTTCGAAGAGAAGGCGAAAATCTCCGGCGAAGCAGCAACCAAGGATTCCGGCTTCACGACCAAGAGCTATGCAAACAACAACAATGGCTGAAGCTCATCAAAAGGCGCACGGTTCAAAAGAGGATGCCAGTGCCTTCTTTGAAACACTAGCAACAGATAACAATACAGCAGCCGCAGTCGGTTCTCCGCCTCGGCAACAACAAGAGAGAAACCCAAACCAAGCCCAGCAGCCAGAGGTGGCAAACAATGAAGACGAAGAAATGCAGCAGCTTGGGCAAAATCATGACAACAACAACGATTTTTCCACTGATTTGGTCGGTGATAGTGACCTATCCGAGGGAAGCTCTGACAAGGACCTTGATTCTGCCGAATATGGAGGAGGTGAGGGGCTTGACGGCAATGTAGTCGCTGGAGAGGATGATTGGAACAACGATGGTTTTCTAAACCAAGACATCAACACAAGCATGAGAGCAAAGTTCAAATCCTATTGTAAAGAACAAGCGACCAATGGCCTGCCATTCCTTACCAAGGAGCAGATTCGTGGTATCCAGCTATTAGACATCTTGAAGAGGAAGAAGGCGCCATTGGATACCTACGACGAGCTTATGTTATGGTACCACCGGAGCAATGGGAATCTGGAAGCAAATGAAACACTACAAAATGTCGACAAAATGGACCATATTGGACGAGGAAGTCTCATAAAAGTGCTCAAGAAACGTTACAACATGGACGATCGATTTGCCACCAAAAAAGCCTTGCTTCTACCACACAGTCAACAGAATCTTGAGCTTGTTTGTCATGATGCATGGGGGTGCATCGAGTCACTGCTTACGGATCCACGAGTAACAGATGATGATTATTTGTTTTTCGACAATGATCCAACAGCTGAGCCCCCGGAAACAATTGGTTCCTATTGAACACCGGAAAAGGATATCGGGAAGCAGTCAAGACCTACAAGAAAGGAATCAAGAAACGTGTTGTTCTACCGATTGTATTGTACATTGATGGTGCCGACACTGGAGCAATGAAGAGCATGCCTGTCACTGCTGTTAAGATGGCTCTTGGTATTCACACACGGAAGTACAGAGATCAAGACCAGGCCTGGAGAGTGTTGGGTTTTGTTGCCTCCGCCAAGAAAGCAAAGGCCAAGGGGGGGAAAATTCTGAAGCAATCAGGTCATGTTGCTGCCCAGCAAGCTACTAGTAGTAGTAGTAGTACGGCATTGGAAGAAGATGACGACGACGAGGAAGAAAGCAAAAAGGTGGCTGATGATCAAGGCAAGCCAGCTGATTTTCATGCCATGTTGGATGTGATTCTAGAGAGTTTGGTTGATGTTCAGAAGCGTGGTTTCGTCTGGGATTTGCGATATAAGGGCAGGACTTGGAAGGATCTGGAGTTTGTCCCCTATATCGCCTTTGTGAAATGTGACAACAAAGAGGCCGATACCCTTTGTGGTGCCTACAACAACTATGGAAAGGGTGTGAAGCATTTGTGCCGGTACTGCCACTGTCCGAACGAAGAGAGTGACAATCCAGAAGCTCGGTTTCCGTGGAAGACTGTGTCACAGTTAAAACCATTGTGTGATCTTCAAGATCTTGACGCTTTGAAGAAGATTTCACAGCATTGCATCCAAAATTGTACCTACAAACTTCGATTCAGTCCCATTAGCACTAGAGGAATACACGGTGCTACTCCATCAGAATTGCTCCATCAGGTCCTCCTCGGTCTTTTTGCCTACGTTCGTGATGTGCTTTATGAGCAAGTTGGTCCTGATTCACATTGTGCTCAAGAAATTGACAACCTGGCGCAGCTGTTTGGTGGCACACATTTTGCCCGACAATGTGAATCAGACATGCCATTGTACAACTGTACAGATGGGATCCGTGAGGGCAGGATCACTGCAAAAGAGTACCGGGGTGTGTTGCTTGCCATGACCATGATCCTTCGATCAACACACGGGAGGCAGCTGATTGTTGATGAAAAGAAGATGACAGCACAAGATTGCAATGAATGGGCCGATTTGGTCGAGATTTTGCTGTGTTGGGAGGCTTTTCTTGGGCAGCCGAAAATATCTGTGCAGCATGTTGCCAAGCTTGCCACCAGGAATCGGTATATTATGTGGTTGATGCGGAAGAGAGCTGATAGAAAAACAGGACGGGGCCTTCGAATAATCAAGTTTCACGCTCTGGTCCATATGGTTGGTGACATCGTTCTGTTTGGTGTACCGATGGAGTTTGATACCGGATCTAACGAGAGTGGTCACAAGCTCACCAAGATTGCTGCTCTGTTAACCCAAAAGATCAGCGCCTTGTTTGATTGGCAAACATCTATTCGACTAGATGAGTTTTTGTTGATTGATATGGCACTGGCAGAGATTCGAGGTTACAAGCTGTGGGATTATTACGACCAGCCAGCTCGACAGGAGTATTTGGCACCCCCCAACTTGGAAGCGATTGTTACTGGAGCAACAATCAACATCTTCCAAGAAAAGAACAACCCACAGGTGTATTATTCAGTAGGTGTTGGAAGTGATACCACTATAAGGATTCCCCACAAGAAGCCTTGGGATGAACAAATTCTTCATTTTTTGCATGACTTGCAAAGCAAGCTGACCCCAAAATGGGGCGACAAGCTCAAGATCAGGAGCGAGCATCATCGAAATGGGCAGATCTACCGCGGGCATCCAGACTATCGAGGCTCTCCATGGCGCGATTGGGTTCTGATTGATTGGGGCGGTAGATCTGAATCTGAGGAAACTGTTACTAGATCTGAGCCTGAAGCGGGGCTGATTTGGTGTTTCGTGGTACTCGAGAATCTTCCCAAGAGTAACAAGAAGAAGAAAAAGCACAAACAGTTGCTTCGGCACGGTGGCTTGGTGGTTCAAAATGGAGTTTATGCTGTCGTAGAATGCAGCCGGTGGGTTTCTGGCTCGAATCAGACCAACTCACGACTTTTACGAAAGCTAACCCTTGAAATGGCATCCAATGTACCCGGATCCACAAGCACGCGCAGGAAGTTCTTCCTCGTCGAGGTTGAGAAAATCAAGGGCCCTCTCTTTGTAGTGCCTGACATTGGATGCAGAAACAAGAGAAACTACTTTCAAATTAAGCCTCGAGCCCAATGGGTTGATGTTTTTGGTCATTGGCTGGAACAAGCGCTACCGGATGAATACCTCAATGACAAAGCCGGCCTTCAGTTTGGTCTGCATGACAACTAATAAGTGGTTGCTAGTACTGGCTAGAACACTGTAGATATAAATGTCTACTAACATCAACTATGTTTAGAACGAAGTTTCCACAAACTTTAGCTCGTAGCCAAAAATCTGTGCAGTATCAAACATCTAGATCCGCACGAAATGCTGCTGTTCAGGGGCATTTACAATCAATTTGTGAGCTTCTTCTTCATGATTGCATCGCCACGTGCAAAGATTGGGTACCGGTACTTAAAACAACACTATCTAACCCTAGTGAGTCGAGCTTGACATTGAAACGTGCCTACTGTAACGTGTTTAAAAATGTAACGTAAGCATGCCACGTACAAACTGTTATGTGGGAGCGAATGATGTTTACTACTATGAGGATTGTATAAAGGCAGGCGCATCCTGGGTCCCATCAAATGATTAAGAATGGTCAATTCAAAAGATTCATCATGAATATCTACATGTATATTGGTGGGTGTTGGCGTCAGTTTCCCTCCACATTTTGGCCAGAAATGAGACCAAAATCTTGACCAAATGATGGCATATTCTTGACGAAAATGCCAAGGCGAGTACCAATCGAGTTAAGAAAACATATTGATTTATTCAAAAGGAAGAAGGAATTCCTAGATACTTATACAATGACAACGCAACAGGAGCATCACCGTCAGAATGCTACTGGTGGTCCCAGAAGAAAAGTTGTAAGCTAACACAGATCAGCAGCTAAACATCGTGATTTGCTCTGGTACACATGGAATACCCTCACCCTTTTTATGTTTTTCTGTCCAGCTGCTCGAAGTGGAGGAAAGCTTTCTAAAAAGAGTTGAAGAAGCAGCAAAACGATGCCATTGCTGGGCAGGTGCAAAAGCAAACAAGGCGGGTTACCTTGCGTCGGTGCAAATTTCTTGATGACTGGAAGCAGGCTGAAGCTCTGACGGAGCAGCTGCTTGATGATGTCCTGATGCTTCCCGGCACCCAGTTTAAGGGCGACGAGTTGGAAACAGAGAAAGCGGAGATAAAGGTCAGTGCTTTGCTCATGATTGCTTGCTTTGCTTTGAGATTTAGGTCAGTCACTAACTGTGTTTGCTCATGATTGCTTTGCTTTGCTCCTGAATGACGGCTGATTCTAATGCCCCATAGGAAAGTCGTAAAGAATTTATCCGACTTTACACTCCCACCCTTGTTGAGGCCATCAACACTCTTCGAAGCAACATCTGCACAGAGATGAGAAAGCGGGCTCTTGAATGGATGGAAGGAGAGGGTGTTGCGAATGGCAAACCAGTTAACCCCCGTTCACTTCCCACTCTTGAAGCAATCAAAAAGATAATGCTCCGTGATTTGACTGTTGACGTTCCTGATGGGGATCCGCAAACAGACAAGGAGGTTTACAACCTGGAGCTTTTGGAGTTGTATCTCAACCAGTTGCTTCCTATTGTGGCTGGCGTGTAAGTACAAAGCAGACTATTTGAGATTGAATTCAGATATATTTAGTCATGATTCTCAGCTTTGCCCTTTGTTTTTTACCTCAAAGCCATGTTTACGGTGAGAAGCAGTGCTGGACCGTATGCCCCACTACTCATGAAGTTGATGGAGTTCATCAGATTCCAGCTGGCACGGAAGCATTTGTCTACGTGGTCTTTGACAATTGCCACAAGAGGTGGACTGAACTATACAAGTGGCGATATGAAGAAGGGGCCAAGGAAGCTACCCTAGATACAGCAGCAAGGAACCCAGTACTTTTCGCTTCAAGGGAAAATACTCTGATAATTGTTCTGGCCAGAAAGAGTTTGGTGGGTGGGTTGCTGAAGGCATTGACACGTTTGAGGAGGTCAAGGAACAAGAGGTCAAGATCAACCGAGAGGCGAATCTTGACAAGTTGGTTGAAATTGATACCAAGTTTGTTGAAATGCTGCAGGTAAGTGCAACAGTCTGTGCGCCATACCTGAAATTATTGCCACTCATCTATATACATGTACCTTTGCCTCACTATTCAGAAACGCCATGACGAGGCTATGGCGAAAAAACATGACCAAGCTTCGGCAACCTATCAACTGAAATTAGACTCCCAGAAGCGAAAGCGCGAGGCAAAGGAGGCACAAAAGCACAAAAAGAGGAAGAGAGCCAGCACCCTTGATGATTAATCAGGGGGCTCCACTGAATATTTTGGGCCTGATACTTCCTGATTTTGACCTTTCGGTACAGATCCATCCCCTTGTTGCTGTTGTTTTCGGTTGCAGGGTGCTCAGCTGGTTATTTTTGCACCCCCACCACTTTCCGAAACTGTACATCTTGACCTTTTGGTTGGGACCTTGCCTATTAGTGGTGCTGTTTGTGGTTGCACGTGGAATGCAATCTGTACAAGGCCCCGTATTTTAAGCATGTGTTGGTCATGATATGTTATTTTCCATGACCCGTTCCCACTACGTTTTAAATCCTAATTCTCTCCTAGTATGTTATTATTTCAACTCTATTTTTCTTCTAATTCTGTAGTCTAAGGTTCTTACCATTCTGTATTGCGCACGGCCTGATCTACAACAGAATGGTCCTGATCACGAGGAAGGTCAGCCACTTAGCAATTTGTCTGGCAGTTGGCTTTCTGCCGAAATTACACAGTGCACATGACAAACACCTTCTGAATTGAAGAACATAGGCAGAAAGCTGGCTGCCTGACAAGTTGCTAAGTGGCTTGCTTTCGTCCTGATTCTAGATTTCTGTTCTGTGCTGGAATCCAAGCTTCACCTTCTGAATTGGGGGAAAAGGTCCATATTGCTACCTTGGACATAATCCTTTGTAAGACGAGACCATGTCTATGTCAAATTTTGACCTACTACTGTTTGCCCCTTATCTTGACCAAAGGTCATATCAGGCTTCTTAGACGGAGTGTATCACAAAGATCCATCGTTGTTCCTCCGAGGAGGTTTTCCTCACTCAATCACATAGAGGTTCCGGCCTGCTCCTAGACGCCTCGGGTGTCTTCCGCAGAAGGAGTTTCGTGTTGAGAGGCAACTTACTCCTGCTCTCGGAGTTGGAGGGCTGCAAGGATCTCCTGAAGTTGTTCAGTTTGCTGCTGAAAAACTCGTACAATGAGCTCCTGCTGTTCGTGCTGTTGTGCAACAACCCCCTGCCATGGCTGGAATTCTGGATTGTTCTCGAAAAAGGTGTTAGTAGCAACTTTCTTTTGGAGGGGTGTCTGGTCCTCGTCAAGACTGATCTTGGCCAATTCATCCATTTTGATTTTGAAGGCCTTGAGCTGTTCCTCCGTTTCGATCCGTGTGGTCTCCAGATCCGCCCAGATTTGGTCAATTTCCTGTTTGTGGCCCTCCATCTTTCCATGCGGTGACGATCCAACTCCTCCATCTTCTCCATGTGGCGACGCGTGCTCTCCTCCATCTCGGCTGCAACCTGTTCCAGATCCGCCTCCAACTCCTCCATCTCAGCAGCATTGCGTTTCCACTCAGCTATGCCGCGGAAGTACAGGTCGTGCGACGGGATACAGCTTACAATTCAGCTTTACAGCTTTACAATTAGCAGGCTTATTCTAGAAAATAATCAATAACTGCTCACTTATTTGGAAATACAAACTTTACATCTCTTAGATCGTTAGATTAATCAATCCACAATGGTATTGTCGCATGGTAGCATGCGAGGTTATGAGATGTTACTCATTCTTATTCTTATATGTCTATCCCTTATGGTTGTCAATGGAATGAGCTATCCCTTGATGCAGAGTTCTGAGTTTCCTCTCATTATCTTCATCGGTAGTCCTTCCCCTTATTGCAACTTAATTCCCTTGGATTCGCTCGCAAGCAATCCCCTTTCCAACATTGTTGTTGTTGATTCGCTCGTAAGCAATCGCAACCATGGACTCCTACAGGAGTCCACCTTTCATCCTGTCGTTGATCGAAATCGCGATGAGGACCCTATATTATACGATGGACTCCTATGGGAGTCCACCCTTTTCTCGATCGATGCAGGAACCACTACTGGTACTGCTTCTGTTATGGCTACTACTACTATTGCTATTGCTTCTACTACTACTACTGTTATCTCTGTCACCGGCAAAGCCTTGACCATGCTCAGCTTCAGCATGGATCGATCGATTGGATCGATCGATCGAGTTAACAGAATTCATCGAAAAATGAGGCTTGACTGCATATATAAGGCTCGGCTTGTGTATCGTGGGTCGAGTCATGCTTCCAGTAAACCCATCAGTTCACCCGGTTCGAATCTGAGTCATGCGTCAACTCCTCACTTTTTCATTAACTCGACGGAGACGTACACTGATAACAACAAGAGTTCGAACTCGACGTACACGACGTACACGAACAACAACATGCGTTCGAGCGAGCGATCATCCCCTGGTGTTGGTCGATTGAAAGTTGGTCTCCGTTTACCCAGGACTGGCATTGGTCGTTTGAACTGGCTTGCAGTTTGTCGTTTGAAGAATTCGAACATCGGTACTGATTGTACGAAGCGATCGATCGCTCGCGATGTCGATGTTGCTGTGGCAGTTGTCATTGGACTCTATTGTACGAAGCGATCGATCGCTCGCGATGTCGATGTTGCTGTGGCAGTTGTCATTGGACTCTGTCTACCGAGGGACTACCATTCGCTCGCATCCGGTCGTTTGAATTCAAACTCGAAGGATTCGCCAAGTTCGATCACGACCTCGGATCCAACCACTCCTCATAAATTCCATCTTCGATTGACTCGATTGACTGGATATCCACCCAGCTCCTCCTATTGTTTCCGCTCCTGTTGCCGCTCCTCCTGTTACCGCTACCGCTCCTCTTATTGTTGCCATTGCCCTCTTGTTGATTCTAACTTGATGGACCTTGACGACGCTTCCTCTGCCTCAGCATCTTCATCTTCAACAGCAGCGCCAGCATCAGCATCCTTGTTCAGTCCACAAGGCTTCAGACAAGCCTTCCTTTGAATCTGATCCAATCATCCCACCATCTTGATCCTCCAACCATGACTGCAGCACCATTGACCGCAGTTCACATTCCAGGAGCTCCTCCAGCACATTGGTAAAACCAAAGAGAAGACCAAGCTTCAGAAGCCGCTCGGCTTGGAGGTATCAACCACAACGTGGAGCCTGGACAGGAACCGGCTCAGATGGACTGGAAAGGAACCTTCAAAGCACCCTATGCCTCAGTGTGTTACCATGGTAGACGACATCTAAAACACACCACACTCCAGCCACATTAATTGGCATGACAGAAAAGACTGAAGGATTCCACCAGTCACTATTCTCCACTCTTGACTGAGTTCAATATGCTTCTGGTCTCATGTTGCTAGCTCTCTTATTGCCTTTGAGAGTATGATGACAGAGCATGGATGGAAGGGGTCTTCGAGCTTTTGTTGGAGACCATAATACTAACACTAATTAATAAAACAACATGTTCACTGCTCCTGGACAGTTCTCAGAGTCTATGAAGGAAAAAATGGCATCATGACCTCACAGTCAATGGGTCAGACTCATCGATGCCAATGGGGATCTGCAGCAACATTCTGTTTGCCAGTATGATCTAACAACCTTGCCTGGTTCGGAAAGGCTGTCTTGAACTCTTGCACTGATGCAATGCCAGGAACGAATTGAAATCATATGTCCCTCGAGCCAAGCACAATGGGCCCCAGCTTCTCTTGGTCTTCTGCATAAGATATACAGACCTTCTCTCAGCAAGATTGAGACCCTCAAAGCAAGCTTCTTCACTTGGACATCACCAAGTTCCTGGAAAAGTGTCCATGTATTTGTCGATGCAAGCAAGCATATCAAAGAGATTCGATTAAACTTTATGTCATGTGATCCCATTCCTGAATCAACCAGCACAATCCCTGAGGGGTCTCCTTGCCTGTGGTTGGTCCATATTTCGATCCAAAGTCCATGAGCTTGTTGTCAAGAGTGAATCAACGATTTTGATAGCAATATGGAAACAAACAATTGGAAGCACTCAACACTTGAATGACTTGGATGCCTCTATCGGGTCCCCTCATACCAGCAACTATAGCCTCGCCCAACATCTGGATCAAGGGATCCCAGCGCAAAGCCTCCAGGCAGCAATGACAAAGGCAGTTGAGGCAAAAGTTGGGAGTTCACCCAGGACTCGAAACAGTGGGTCAGCCAGTGGGTACCCGTCCTCGTGGACGGCGCCTGCTTTGATTGTGGAGCTACTTACCATAATAGAAACGATCCAGCATGTCACCAAGCGGAGGTGTTCCCAAGGACAACGGTTCTGAAGTGCTGAAACCAACTGCCAAACTCCAAACTCTTATCAAAAGACAAGCTTGCTTCCATGCCTTCCAAGGGAGAACATTCCCGATGATGTCCCAACACACCATTTCTTGTTGATGGGAAAGTGGTTGCTAAATACTTGCTGCAACTGTGGAAGGTTCTCCAAGGCACCAGTGCTCATTTCACCAGTGAACATCGTGGGTTCGCAAGTTTCCCTTCCAAGGCACCTCTTCTGGTTGGCAATGCTACTCCACACCAGCTTGCTCCAGCTTCGGCTCCAATCACTGCTGGTGGCAACCTTTCTTTTCACATGGGATTACCTATGTCCCGGTGCTGATGTCCCTGTTCAGCCATGATGAGTTTATATCACTCCAGTCCCATTGTTGGGTATGATTTTGATTCCATGCAGGTCAATAGGGCAGCAGTCGATCTCAGTTTTGATGAGACCTCCGTTTTTCTGAGCTACCTCTAATGGAGGTTTTCATGTGATGCTTCGTCATAATAACACACTTGGCAACAGTTTTTCTCATTGCCTATTCTTTTGCCCCATTTGTGCCTCTTCTATCTCGGGTCTATTCCTTCTCATGTATTGGAGGAGAAGAATGAGTCTGCTATGAAGACATTTATCAATACACTTCGAATTCCAGCCTGATTCTTTGGAGGGAGCAACCTTTCTCAGCCTCACCGCATAAAATGGCTGATGTTGTCTCTTCTCCCATATCTTTCCCGCACATATCCTCATTGGACTAAGTCTCCGGGTGGCGGCATGTGTGTTTGTTTTTCTTTGGTTTTACAACTTGCTTCTAAAGTTCAAAGGTTATACCATTCTACAGTGGCTCTTCTTGCATCAACCAAACTTGTCTTACCACGCCTCAATCGCCCAAAACATTTTGATCCCGATCCAGACCCAGACTCATCCTTGTCAATTCCCAAATTGATTCTTCCGACCTGTGTATACACGATGTTCCTCTTCTTAAGCATAAATAAACTCTTAAGGACACCTATTCCGTCTCTTCTCAACCCCCAACACCAACCATGGCTTCATCGCAAATGTCGGGCTAAAAGAACCCTGTCGAGATACAAGTTGATGGGCCTCCTTGGAGTCATTGGAAACTCAGTCACTGTGGCACAATCATTCCAGCTCTCCAGTGATCTTGTCTTTATAAAACAGCTTCGAAGCTATCGATCAATGCAGGGAAAACTGAAGACACACAGTCTCACGGCCACACACATGCTGGCTCTCAAACAACGCATTCAATCTTCTAATGAATCCTTTGCCAAAGTCACTTCTTATTGCCCATATTTCTTCAGTGCTATTGTTGTCAGTGGATGTTCCTATTCTTGCACCAATACTTTCAGGTATGTTGACCCAAATTCTATCAGAATAAAGCTTTCCGAACCAATATCCTAGGAAGTATCGCTGGCGGTCTGAGCATCGAGTACATCGGTATTACTGATTGGGAGACTTTGGTTGAGCAAGCAAATGTTGTGTCATTCGGGAGCAGGTTCTTATTCATCTGGATCTTGCTTCGAAACAGACTCCTAAGCCCTCAAGCTTCCTTGTCCCCTCAAGGACTTCACCCAAAAACATGCAAACTCAGCGATCATTTCAGAGTCTACCACGACCACGCTGAATGGCATACGGGAAGAAAA